ACCACACTCAGGAAGGGCTGTTCCTGTGGGAAGCTCTGGATATAAGTGCATCCCATTCCTCTCCAACCAAAGCAGCTTTGGAAGAGTCAGCAATGTCCCCTGAGGGGGCAGAGGCTGGGGTGGAACAGTGTAGGGCAGCAGTCTAAGTTCAAACCCAGATCTTGGCCTGTGTGAGCAGGATGATGGTGTTCCATAAAGAAAAGGAAACCTGCATCCCTGACAGGGAGGGAGGTGATTTTGCTGGACTAGCAGGAGCTGGAAGCAGAAACAGGGAGATGGTCAGGACCAGCTCTGACCTCCTCTGCTTCCTGATAAAGGTGAGCTCAGCAGAAAGTGAGCTGGGTTTGGGCAGAAAGCTGAGCTCCTCCTGTGCCCCAGAGACTACTCCAGCCTGTCTCCCTGACCCCACACACAGCTGAGCAGGGAAACTAGAAGACTCTAGCATGGGAGAAGATGTTTTCCCAAGTTCCTTTGAACTTGGGAATAAAAATCTTGGTGAGATATGAGCTGCGCTGGGGGAGGAAGAAGGAAAAATGAAGGCTGGAGGAGGGGCAACTCCTCCTCCCCCATCGCACTAGCACAAAGGGTGATGGTTGGCAGCTCCTGGAGGCACTTCCAGTGTGTGTTCAAGGCTTGAGGAGTTTCCTGTATTATCACCTCCATGGTGGCCTAGGCAGTGGAGGAGCAGGGAAAAAGGCCTCACGCTTCTGTCCAACACTTGGACATCCAGCTCTTTCGTCAGCAGATCTCTATTCATAAAGGGGGCCAGCATCATTTTTGTTACAAAAATGAAGACACAGGCACTCCTGTAGGTGAAGGGACTTGCCCATGTCATGCAGAGAGCTGGAGGGAGCCCATGGCTCTGGGGAAACCATTCCACTGCTCTATTTCCCAGCATGTGCTGTCCCCACGACTAGGACTGAACATTTGCTGGAGTTAAGAGGACGGGTCAGAAACCATGTGGTGGAATGAACAGCAATGGCCAAAGGCGGAGAGAAAAGAAAGGGGAGGCTGATGGTGGCAGGAAGGGGGATGATGCCCGGAGTGTCATGGAAAGCACGGGAGGGAGTCGTGCCTTGTGATCTCGGGGGAGTCGGGAGAAGCTTGCAAGTGGGAGAATCCCCAACCCTGGAGAGAAGATGAGAAATACGATAGAGCTGCTCGGGCCGACCGCCGGCCCCCCAGGGGCCTCTCCGAGTCCGGGGCCGGGGGCCAGAAGCGCAGATGTCCGGGCACCCCCGGCCCAGGGGCTGCGGGCCCGGCGGTGCGGGGTCCCCGCAGAGGCTGCGGGCGGTGCCCCCCGGGCCGGGCGAGCGGGAGCGGAGCGGGGCCGGCCCGAGCGGGCCCGGGGGTGCCCCAGCACCGCCCCCGCCCCGCTGCAGCGGTGCCGCAGGCGCGGGGCCCCGGCGGGGAGGGGTTTGGCGGCCCCAGCCGGGGGCGGACGGGCGGCGGGGCCGTGTGTCCTGCCCTGCCGGGGAGGTCCCTGCGCAGCGCCGCCGCCGCCGCTCCCGCTCCGCGCACAATGGCGACTCCCAGCCCCAGCGGCGGCTCCGGCGGGAGCGGGAGCGGGCCCGGGCCGGGCGCCGCCGGCAGCGGCAGCAGCAGCAGCAGCAGCATGCAGGGTAAGCACCGCCGGCCCGGGCAGCGCTGGGCCCGGCCGGGCCGGGCCGGGGACGCAGCGGGGCTCGCCCTGCCCGGGCCGCGGGGACCCCCTGGCGCTGCCGCCCGCGCCC